ATTATATATTATATAATATATAATATATAATATATAATATATAATATATAGTATATATTATATAATATAACATTACACTATATAGTATGTTATATATTGTATGCTGTACGGTTCCGGCACTTTGCATCAACATTCGGCACCCGCGGAGCTCTCGGGGTCCCAGGTGGTGCCAGGCTTTGACCGGAAGGCCTTCCGTGAAGCAGGCGAAGAAGGAGGCAGCCTGAGAGTAAGGATAGTAAGGGCTTACTAGCTAGATGTATCATTACTACCAGCAACTACTACTACGCTCACTCACTCTTGGTTACTCTTGTAGCATTAATGATGGTTTTTGTTGTTGTCAAGGTTCAGGGTTTAGGGCAGCGGGGGGGGGGGCATTCGCCTTATACATGAGAATGCTGTGTTTAACTTAGTATTAGTGGAGATGTTTATTTCTCAGACCCCTTCTTCAACTTGTTCCCAAACATGCTTGCGAATTGAAGCCACAGCTGTGTTTCTGACTCAAAGTCCCCCCGGGGCGGTTGCCAAATAAATTCGAACCGTGGTGATGAAATATGTATACCTAGAAGATTGCCGCACGACCTTGCTGCAGGCTCAGGAGGTGCTGGGACCTCAGAGATTCACGAAGCTCAAGCATTTTGGCCATTCCCTTTCCGGCATACTTACCCAGGGTTAAGAGACTTTGGCTAGAAGATCTGCATGGACGATACTCGATTCTCTTCTAGTCGCCCAGTCCGGACTAAGCTTATGTCAGGACTTCTGTTGGGGCGAGGTTGAAGCGGTCCAGTAGCAGCTTAAGTCGAAGTGGCAATTGCCGGTCATCGACAAACCTGCAAGAGCCTGCGATGTCAGACTCCAGCCCCACCAGCGCTACGTGCAGCTCTTTCATGCTCGAGCTCCGCTTCAGGCACCAGCGCTCTGCAACTTTAATCATTGGCGCTTCGAGAAGCCCAAAATGCTCCAGATTCGTTCGTAAAAGATCAGCTATTCAGGTGCAGCTCTGCGGTGAGTAGCAGTGTGATCCCGAAGACCACGACCTCGCCCATCGCTGAAGCTTCATGTCGACGGCCCGGTATCCTTTAGGTTATATAGGCCGGCCATGTAGTGCAAGCCGCTCTCATCGGGTCAGCTGCTGATGTTCCGTGCATGGAGCCGAATCTTCAGGCCGCTGGGTAGGGCTGTATCTACAACTGCCGAGGTTGCCGAGAAGCCACGTGAGGCGGCAGCAGAGCGCTTGAATCGCCACGACCGGTCCTACCGGGCCATATGTCCTTTTACCGTGCGTCGGACTTCCTCAGACAACTTGCCCGTATACGTCGTCAAGCGAAAGAATCGATCGGAGGACGTCACGATCATCCGCAAAGTTCGGGGGGACCCGGAAGCTCTGAAGCGGGAGCTGGAGTTCCTGTGCCAAACGAAAGTCAGCTATGGAAAAAGTGGATTTCTGCAGATCGTCGGCAACCATCGTCGAGCCATCAAGGAGTACCTCAAAAGCATCGGCTACTGAGCGAAAGCTGAGGGCTACAAAGGACCCGATGATGGATCTGCAGGCATGACAGTCGGTGCTGTTTTGGGCCACAGCATTCGAGCAGTGTCCGGAGATTGTCGAGTGGGAGCCTGCAAGCCTCCTCCAGAGGCACCCGCTTTTAGAACAGACACATTCCTCGTGCCCTCGTGCTCTGCCGAGGGGTGTGCTGCCCGGTCTTGGCAGCCCTTTCTGACTGGATGCCCCGAATTGAAAAAGTGGTGCGTCATGGTTTCTTACTGCGGTAGTCATGCTTCTCGGCTCGGAGCGTCCTTTGTACATCCTTGGCCGATTCGGATGGGGTCGGTGAGCTGTTGAATGAGCTTGGGCAAGAGCTGGTGCAATGCTGCTTATTGAGGCAAGTGTTTGCGTCTAAGGCTAAGGGCTCACTTCCGGCAGTTGTTCCAGCCATGTCGTCATGACTTCCTTCTTGCCAATCGCGAGAGTGAGTGTCAAATGTTTGCAAGATTTCCCCAACCCGAAACCCTAAGCCGTAAACTCTAAATCCACATGTGAATGAGTTAGTTTCTTGTTTTGTTTCTTCGATTCCTGCCACTAGTCACTAGGCGCGTTGTTTCCAGCACGGGAATCAACCAAGCAAGTTGAGCTGATTATCGCTGGAGGTTCTTCTTCGGTTCACATGCTGTTGTTGTTTGGCTCATTTTAGCTCAGCTCTATGTCACCTCATTAAACAGAGCCTGCTTCATCCGAAGTCCTACCAGACAGCCAGACACACCCCTTTTCACTCCCGAAACCTGTAAGCCCCATACTGACATCAGTCATCCCGGTTTATGGTGGATCAACGTGCTTGATTCATTCACTAAGCATTCCAGTAGAACAGAAATGGGCGCCCAGATGCTATCCAAGGCATTTCGAAGCCTAGCATCGCAAGCCAAACTTGTGAAGAAGCGGTGTTTGACCGCTTCAGTAATATTACCCGCAACAGCATGAGTAATAACATTGGTAGCACTGAGAATCATTCCAATGATTAAGGCCACTGTGACAGGTGCTGGCCCTAGGTCCCACAGCAAATCTAGTGAACCCTAAGCCCTTTTTCTGCCTCTGCCACAAACCTCGCCTGACTGTTCGAATGCCAGCGCCGCAGCCTAAAGCAAACTCTCAGGCTGATGCCTCGCCGCCCAGCCCTGCCCGGCCAGACACTGGCTTTCCGCGCTCGTCCTGAGGGCGCCAATTTTTTTGTCGCTTTTAAGATGCAAGGAAGGTGGGATTCGGAGATAATTGGTAAGTCGGTTGCAAGCTTGAGGGCCGAAGGTCTTCGATTGCTCAGGGTAGATTTTTGGGTGGAAGATGTTGGCATCATGAAGACCATCGGTGCTTTGTTTTCAAACTTGGAGATGTCGCTGTGTCAGCTTTGACATTTCCCGCCTCTGCCTGGTGTGGGGGGCCAGAAGCTTGCAGTTGTTGGACTCCACACGGAAAGCCTAGGGCCGATCCTCATTCTCCTCATCAGCAACATCATTCAAATCCCCTTCTGCATCATCACCATGGTTTTGGTCATCATGGCTACGATCGGTATCTTTGTTATCATTACCACCACCCCCGCGACCTTCCGTCAGCAGATTCACGTCCAGTCCGCCACCATCGCCTGCAGCATCACCTGTCACACGGGCGTGATGAAGATCATCGGATCATCATTAACGTCATCATGTTCATCTGCCACGTCCGTCATCATCGTCATCGTCACCATCCACACCACCGTGGAGCTCTGTCGATGTAATGATAACCATCGTCGTCATTTTCATGTTCCACCGAATGACCGTGTCCTCCGAGGTCTTGTTTATCGGAACAATCACGATCCTTCTTGCTCCGATCGGCCGCTCTTCGCTTGCGCCACTATCACTACCAGCATCACAGTCGTCATCAGGTATTAGGCATCATCATGAACACCACTAGTGCCATCATCAGCATTATCATTACTATCACCGGTATCATGGCCATCATTAACACCATCATCAACATAGTCATCATCAGCATCAGAACCACATGGCAACTGCTATGATGATGATGATGATGGCGACGACGACGACGAGGACGACGACGACGACGACTACTACTACCACCACCACCACTACTACCACTACTACCACAACTACCACTCCTACCACTCCTACCACTACTACCACTACNNTAAATTCTACTAAATATAACTTGTACTACTCTTTCTATTAGTGCTAGCATAACTACTATATACTATACTATGATTATAGGGTATATTACTACTACTACTACTACTACTACTACTGCTACTACTACTGCTAGTACTACTACTACTACTACTACTACTACTACTACTGCTACAACTGCTACAACTGCTACTACTACCACTATTCGTCGTCGTCGTCTCCATCACTGAGTGCCGCTGCCGGCATTGCCGATGTTTGTTCCACTTCATATCCATCTACAAGCTTTGTGTCAGAGCGCGGGGGTCGGGGTCAAGGAATGCAATGAGACGGGTATTTGCCAATGGTTGTGTACAGACCTTTGGTGTCGATCTGCACTTCCGGTGCCGATCAGCCGTGTGCCGACCGCTGTGTCACTGTTTGGCGCGGCTGCTTGGAACGAGGGAAGCTGCCCAAGCGAGCTGTTGAGATTACTCCGGGTAAAGGTCAATGCTGCCGGAAGCGTCGAATGTGAATCCCCACGAGCCCTCAGTACGAAAGTCGCTTTATGCTGCGCACTGCCAAGTTTTCCATTCCTACTGATGCTGACGTTCTGCTGCCTTTTACCTGGTCCATCCACACTGCAGCTTTGTCCGAGTTTTCAGCCGGGCAGGATGCTGGAAAGCCATGCTGGTGGGGCCACCATAGGAACAGTTTTCGGCCAATGTTAACGGTCCCTGCGCTGTTGGCATCCCAAATGTTCATGTGCGAGTTTGCAGCATCTTTCCCATGCTCCCCGCCTCCAGATGGATCTGAAGCGACTCTGCGGAAACAGGCTGCTACCGGCGACCGTAGCAGAATGGGCAGGGACCTTTGACGGGACTATGCTCCAAGTTCCCCAGACAACCTCTGTAAGCAGACGGCCACCAGTCCGAAATATCACTGTGCTCCCCCTGTTCCCAGCAGCTTTCACGGCCTCCAGATTGCCACATCGCAACACCCTGGCTGCGGTCTTTCGCCTAGCCGTAGGCCTCGACAAAGAAGAGAAAAGCTCAGGTACAAATCGAGCTTGGAAGATCTCTGGTCAGAGTCTAGCCAGTTTTATCTCATCCGATGTCCCGGTTTCCGGTTATCGACCCCCCCAAAAAGCCCCTGCATTCCATTTGGATGCTATGCATGCCTGCCTCTCTATGGCATCTGAACCTCTGCTTAGTTTGCATCCCTAAGTTTTAATACTACGGACATTTGGCAAAAGGCGAAAGTGGCGAGATTCAGGCCTCAGCACTCACACACTCGACTGGCCTGAGCGAGGATGGCACTTTGGTTCAAGCCTCGGGCTGGAAGAAAGAGATGTCCATCGAAGTCTTCGATAAGTACTTCCAGGCCGTCGGGAGCAGAAGATCCCTAAGCAATTCCGATTCTTCGGGCAAGGAGGTGAGTCTGGCTTTTGCTTTGGCGGTTTTTTGTACTTGTGCCAGTACCGCAGATGCCCGAGAGATCAATTTGTCTAGGATGCAACCGTTTAAGTAACGGAAGCACCGCGGATTTGGTATTCTGGGGGCATGCATTTTCACCTACTCCATCTCAGGTTCCGAACTGAGCCACGGCAATCTGCACTGATCAAGAAGGTTTGTATATAGAAACGACAGTCCCGATTGGCCCCAATGGAGTCCAACGGTCCTGGGAAGGCGCATGAAATCTGGTTTTCAACCCTGCTTTTGTTTTGAGAACTCTCTCAGCATGAGTCCAGTTCTCACGTCAGGAGGGGCGGAAGATAGTTACCGTCAAAGATGTGGAGCCGGAGAAGTTTATCAAGGCTGGCGTTTGAATTCAGACCACGCCGGGGATGCTGGGGGGGGGAGGTTTAGCAGGGGTACGGGCTGCGGCATTCTCCTACTCTTGCCCCTGCTCACTTTTGCTTCCTCTTCTTCTTCGATTGCTGATGCGGTTGCTCCTGCTGCGCTGCTCCTACCGCTGCTGTTCTTACAGCTAAGACTAAGACTCCCACGGCTCCTGCCCCACCTGCTACTACTACTGCCACTACAGCGGCTACTGCTACTACTATAGTGCTAGTAAACAATGCTGCTACTGCCCATGCTGGCACTTGCGCTACTGCGAAGACAGGGATGAGAAGGAGGACGAGGAGGAGGCACTGCGATGTCGACGACAAATCGCTACCAACCATGCGATCGCAACGCTCCGCTGTGACGTGCTGATATATACTACTGTTACTGTATTACTGTCATCATATCGTCAGTTCATCTCCCCGAACCAGGCTTTCTCGCAGCACCTGAAGCGACAAGGACGCTTCGAGCTGCCGAAGTGGGCCGATGTTGTCAAAACCAGCAGCTTGCTTCGGGTTCATATTTTGGATGTTAGGGCTTTATACTGGGTGCGGTTCGGTTCAGGCTGCACGGTTGTGCCTGCCTAGCTTGTGGGTCACCTTGAATGTTGCGAAATCTATTTCCTCTTCCCGACACTGTGTGTTTGGGCCGCCGCGGTATGGGAGGAGAGGAATTGCATGTCGGGAGACTGGTTGCTATGTGTACGTGGGGATGCTGAGCAGGGACAGGATCTTTGTGACCCCGCATGGCGGACTGCGATACTGTGGATCTACTCCAGCGATGTTCATCTGGATTTCCTAAACCAGACATAACCAGACACCATCATGCCAACTTGGAATATTGGAGTGCTCATTCCGTCCTCGCAGTCAAGTCATGTGCCAGTCGTCGTTTGTACAAGTTTCCAGGTGTTTTGTTGTCTTATAAATTGCCTCAGCCCTGAACCGGACGGTACGCCAGCAAGGTAAGGCCAAAGAGCTGCCGCCTATGGATCCGGCCTTTCGGCACTATTTTGCTACAAGGGGTTGAGAGTTGCGTGCTTCGAGTGTCAGTCGTGCAGATTAGGCAGGCCTTAAAACCCTTTAATCCCCGACCATTTTGGGCTCAAGCACTTGGGCTCGCCATCATTTGCTTCCTGAGCCCTCCCCGTCGGTGCAGTGGGGCGCATTTGCGGCGGGTGACGTGCAGTGCCATCGTGCGTCGAGCAGATTCCTTTGTTACCTGCGCCCCCTTTGGCCAAAGTGGTGCAGGGACTTGCCCCCCATGCTGCCTACAGAGAAGCAAGGAATCACGATTGGTGGTCAAGTTTGCTAACGTTCGGCGCACGCAAATGGACTATGGCGACTATGGGTGCTACGATGAGTTTCGCTGTGCTCTCTAGAATCACTTCTGCTGACATGTGAAACTGGATCCCGTCGTATGAGGAACTGTAGACCTATCCAATACAGCATGGGTTGTCGCTGGGATACATCGGGTTATCATGCGATTGATTGCCTGTTCGCATGTTTGCTCGTCTTACAATTTCACGTGCGGCCCTGGAATTCGGTATGACGTCTGCGAAACCATACACAGCAATTGCGAGTGGAATTTCGACAGCAAGCGGTTAGTGCAACAAAGGATGAGCGGCTCGAGGTTTCGACGCTGCCATGATTTATCGATTAAGCCTGTTTCTAGTCGATGTTTGGTCTGTCTTTCAAGGTGTAGCTCGGAGCAACTAGAACTTCTTGGTTTGGCAGGCTTCGTGGTTGCTGTTGCTGTCAGCCGCTGTGTTTCAGTAAGGTGTTCTAGGCTGGCTGTGGCAGTGTAAAAGTGCACCCACGGAGTAGGAAAGACTCCACGGGCCTAAGCGGCTGAAGTGAGTTGTTTCGTCTTCGCTCTGCACTTTGGATTGTTGAAGCTTTATAAGGTGACCCGACGCATTGACCCACCACCAGTTTAGGGGCGTACGCGCGGTCATGTGTTGTCTCAATCGATGTGCTACATCCTCAAGCATTGTCCAAAAGCTCAGGACTGGCTCTACGTCAGAACTGCCTCCATGGCCCGGGCCCTGGCAATGGCGCGATGTACGGGCAAACAGACTGATTCAATAGGTGCTCTGAACTGCGAGTGGGATGCCAGTTTTTTGGGATGAAAAGTTGTGAGGTTGTGATGGCCATGGTGATGACGATGACGATGACGACCCAAAAGGGGCCAACAAGTACAAAGATTCGGAAAGAAGATTATCATGATTTTGGTGGTGATGATGACGACGGTGATGTTGTTATTGGTGATGATAACGAGGTTGATGATGTTGATGATAATGATGATGACGTTGATCATGGTGATAGTGGTGGTGAAGATGGTGATCTGATGACGGTGGTGAAGATGGTGGTGATGGTGATGATGATGATGATGATGATTATGGTGATGATGGTTGTGATGATTGTTGTTTGACGACGGTGGTGTTGACGACGACTAAGAAGATAATGCTGACGATGGTGAAAGCAATGGTGTTGACGGTGAGGGTGTTGACGAGGGAGACACTAAGGATGGTTATGACGGCCATGATTGTTGTGATGATGATGGTGATGATGGTGACGACAGCGACGACGACGACCGCAACGACCACGACCATGATCATGATGACATTGGTCGCTGCTGCTCATGGTGGTGGTGGCTGTGTGGTCGTGCTTGGCATCGTCCCAGCCCCAGCCAGCCAGCCAGAGATTGACACCCTGCGCTATCCATGATGTGCTGTTTTGCATGCCTTCCGGTAGGATTATGTGCGAAGCCGGCAGCTGCGATAGGCGGGTCAAACCCTAACAGAACGACAGAAGCATTATACTGCATTCCGAATCGCTAACTCCGGCACGCAGAGAAAGATGGGAAATATTGCGTATCCCAAATACTTGAGATGAATCGTCAGTGGCCCAGGTCCGAAAGATTTACATCCGCAAGGGCATGGGTGTTGGTGCCTTCAAGAAGGCGCAGACTTTGAATTTGAGGGTTCCACGGTGCTGGGGTTTAGGTAAATGACAGAACATAGTACGCATATAAATGAATAATTGCTGTAACTAGTGTCGTCGCTGCAAACGTCGCCTGACCACGTCGAGCGCGAGTGCCAAAAAATAATGATGACATAGCATAGGGGGTATTCGGGTTAAGGCGTTATGGTGGTGCGCCTTTGGGCGAGTTTTGGTTGATGGTGCACACAATGTGACAGGTCTACGGTGGGCAGAAGCGTCGAGGCCGGTCGTGGCTAGCACCGCCTATATAAGGCCTAAGGCCGAAGAAGCCCGAAATGTGAGACAACCCCCTGTGGCAGTCATGCAAGCTCGCTGAAGCATGAGTTAGAGAGTGCAGCAAGTGATTTGTGGGAATTCAACTTGGCTCCTAAGAAGGCAAGCGATATTTTGCGGTCGCATGTTTTTCGGCTCGAAGCCACAAATGCCCATCCTAAGACTAACAGCACAAGAGCTGAATCCAAATCGCAGACTTCGACACAGAACCCAACCATCAACCACAGCATACCCCCAAACGGAAATGGCAGGTCTGATTTTGGCCACCAGAAGCATTGAGGGCTTACAGGTTGGAGTAGGGTATTCGGTTGAAGCAGCGCTTAAGATGAAGAGCTTGAGTTTCCGGCCTCAGTGTTGCTGGCCAGCACACAACATAGTGATTGGACCGACAGACGTAGAGGGATCTTCTGACAGGATACCAGCATACATTGGCAGCCAAGTCGTCTTTCTGCTGGACCGCCTAGACAATTGAAACTACTCGGCTTTGTTATCATTTGGAATTGTTCGAGCTTCCATGTCTTCTCCAGACCCGAATGCAAGATCGGAGTTTGTGCCCCCTTCGCGCACCAAGCATGGGCGCCTCTTTGCCCAGCCGCTGCAAATGCCACCGGTCCGTTGACGTGGTCTGGGATTGCACTGATTGCACCTCCTGATTCCCTAATTTACGGTTATTACCATTTAGGACGACCGAACGCAGACTCAGTCGTTAAAGCAGGTCCTCAAACTAGTCGTCTAGGATGGAAGAACCCTCAAGCTTTGTCAAGGGGCACTACCTGGTCAGTTGGTTTCGTCCTCCGAATCTCGAGCTCATGCGCTAGGGACTAAGCATAAGCGGTCCTTCAACCCTGGAAGACTCCAAGTCCGAAAGGCACTGAAAAGGCACTGATCCTCTGCGAGGCCCTAGACAGGCCTCGGAGCCACATGAAAGGGTTAAAGAGGTTTGAAAGGTGCATAAGAAGGAGTCTTAGTGCGAGTCGTTCGGGTTCTCTAGCTTGATGATGACCACCCCGTATGTTCCTTTGAAAACTGGAGCAAGTTTGAAATGCCGGAGAGAACTCCAGAGCGTATCCTTAGGCGCTACAGTCAAGGCTCTATGACCTTTCGTTACATCTACTCGAATCTACTCTCTTATTTCACATCCCAGGAAAGTGCAACCCAAGACCCTGTGCACATCAATATGTCTCCCTTATCGTGCCTCTGGCATCATAGCATGCTACCAGGTCCCCATAGCCCTAGCCACGTAGTCCAAAATGGGTAGTTCTCTAAATTCGGGTCCCTCCTTAGGTCCACAGTATACTACGACACCCTCATAAATAGGACCCAAAAAAGGGGTCCTCACATATAGAGAACTACTAGAACTACCCCAAGCGTTTAAGGCCGCAAAAGCAGATCCCTGAAATCCAAAGCCGCGAAGGCGATGACCCCAACGACTCGAGTCGTACAGCTGCCCAGGCACCGGGCCACCCTTATTTTCTATATGGGTTTGGGGTTTAGGGGTTTATATGTCATGTTAAAGTTGTCGGGTGATTCGATGTTTTGCTGGGGCTGTTGGGTTTCGTACGGCTTGGGGTTATGAGGTCTTGGACCGTAGAGGTCTGCACTTAGAGCGGCTTAGTGTGATAGGAGCTGAGAGCGGTCGGGGTTTCACGGTGTTCGGAGAGGGAGAGTGTTCGACTGAGCTTACCCTGCCGAAGAGGTTGCCCTCGGCCTCGCATGCCCTTCTTGCAATCGACACCATTGGGGCCAAAGATCCTGAGCCCTTCCTGACTTTAGATAGGAGTTTAGCTCGCTTCAGGTGTCGGTCGACACCGTCGAATTCTGGGAGGACTATGGCCAAGCGGAGGCACCGGATGTTCTCGCAGCCCTCCAAGGGAATTGGTACACGAAGGACACAGTGCGTCGCGCGTTCAAAACTGTTGCATTGAATTTTGGGGTTGTAGTGAGCTTTTGGCGGGAGGCGAATCGTTCCGGGCAGTGTGGGGATGTACGGATTGCAATCGATTCGTCAGACCAGAGATAGAAAGATGGCAGCGCACGCAAGATTTAGAAGGTGACCAAGTTTGTGTGGCAGATGGTGACAGGTGCCCTCAACCCGACACGAAACCCAGAACCACCATTCAAGCCGTCGGCCAGCGATTTGAAACCACCTATAGCTTTCAGAGGACGGTGGGTATCGAATCGGTGAGCTTTGCGGTCGAAGCATCCTTTGGGATGTTTCCTGGAACATGCGCCCACCTATTGCCGTCCTGACCCTGCTGACGCCAAGTACCGTGAGCCCCACGGACTGCATTCAGAGCAGAGCAGTTCCGGGCGTCCCCTTCGATTTCAGTTCCCATTGAGGGCCTTCGTTCCCAGGCTCATATTGTACGATCATTGCCCGAAGAATTGAAGCATCATGCCACCTACTTGCAACCGGGCTGAGCAGGGGAAAGCGGGGACTTGGCAAGCAGCAGATATTATGTTGACCGTTTTTGTGTGCAAACTGTCTGCGGTTGCAAATTAGTTGTATCAGGCAGAATACAACAGCATAGAACACGTGCTTTTTCTGTTGTATACCTGATCATCGAGCCCTAGCCGCTAAACCCCTTTTCAGGCCCTGGTCACTCTCACTACCCAAACCGACAACTCTTCTGGCAAGCGAAGTCTTGACGTTTTGGCTTGTTCAGCAAGCCATACAGCAAGCTCAATAGAATGCACTGTAGTCGGGAAGGTGTCGTGTAGATGATGTACTACACTCTACACCTTTTTGTATGTACGCAAGTAAGGTGGAGGGGTCGGTCGGCAGGCAGGTAGGCAGGCAGGTTGGTGTGCAGGAATGTTCGCTTGCCCGCCCGCCGGTCTGTCTGTCTGTCTGTCTGTCTGTCTTTGGCTTTCCTTCTGTCTATTTGTCTGCTTGTCCGTGTGCACTTACGTTTGTATGTAGGGTACTGACATATGTCTGTACACCACCGTTTTATGTCATAGTCAAAATATTATACCCCATGTTCTCATACATACGCATACATACATACATACATACATACATATATATATATATACACATACTATGTCAAGACTAGGCTTTTCTGTATTTTAACATACATTTGCACGTGTATATGCTTGTATGCGCCAGGCCTGCAGTTGGACAATGTCACGCTCCCTGGCTAGGCAAGCAGGAAAGATTGCTGCCAGACGGAGGGTTTTGAGAGTGGAGTTTAGAGTGTCCCGGCTTGCTTCTCGGACTGTGAGGGCCGCTTTTTTTGGCGGAGAATGTGGCTTGTTTGGTGGTCTCGAGATGTGAAAGATCAGAGTCTTAGTTTGATCTAGCCCGGTGCTCTGCATGCTTGTCACCGAAGGTACCGAATTGGCCTGGATGGGGTTCGGGGCTGTTTCTGGTTTGGGGTGGTTGGGGGTTTAGGGGTTGCGAACGGAGGTGACATGAATTGGTTGTTGTAGTGTAGGTCTTCACTTAGTTAAGGAATCCTTGATATGCATCCTGTAGCCGTTTACCTAGGATGCTTTAGTGTACTGGCCCCTCATCTCAAGAAGGGCCTAAGGGGACTTACAAGTAAGGCAGCGTCAACTGTAGCTGTATCTACTTCGAACCTCAACTACTGTACGTACCTCCTAGTTTCGACGTCCTTGCATCCCTTACGCAATGCATCCGAGGCACTTCGGTACACTGCAGCTAGAAGCCCAGCCGACGATCTTCTGGGACACCCAACACATCTGGCTGAAAAAATAGGCCTTTTGCCTCAATGCGGGCATCCCTTAGCTACGTTAGTTGCAGATTTCTGCATCTTACACTTCGAAGAAGCCCTTGTTGCTCCGACGTTTCTGCGTGGCGACGCTTCATGAGAAAAGCGGCGTCAGTCTCCACAGAGTTGGCAGGGGCAGCAACAAGGGAAGGAACCGTTTCAGACCTCTGTCGGAGCTTGCTCTCAGTTCCTAGAGGACATCTATCTGCAGTAATGAGTTAGATTCACGTGCCTAGCCTTTTACAAACTCAAGCCTCGAAAACTCTGAATCGTAGAGGCACTTGCACGAACGTCTTCACCAAGTCCTCGGGCAAGATCGCGCGTGGGGGACTTGGAGATCCGCTTTCGAGAATTAGCGATGGCAGACCGGGCAGGCTCCCCAAAAGGGGCGGGGAGGGGGGGGGGGCCTCCTAAAGGAGAGAGGGAGAAAGCTGGAATGGTAGGTTGAACCCTGCAAAATACCCCCGAAGTTAAGAATGGTCTAGCTAGGGCAGCGGCCGTAATGGGGATGGCCTGTAAATGAAGAGAATCTGCAATGCCACTGCAGCCCTCCTCAAAAAGATGTCAGTTATAGCGTGAACCAAATGCGCGATGGCATACACGCGAGAATAATATGATTCAATGTGTCAAGATGTTGCACAGAGGTTTCTGGCTACATCTGGCACAGTGCAAGACTTCAGTTACGTCTGGTTCTCGTCCACATCATCCACGCCAACCATTGCTAACCAGTACTGTCTACAAGGCTACATCTTGCAGCAGCTCGAGGACATTGCTGCATGGTTTCCTTACCAGTGAAGCTGCAAGCTGCGAGTATTCGGGTGTTGGCAAAGCGAACTGAGATTCTCTGTTATTAATCACGCAACATTATCAAAGCTGCTGCTGCAATTTCTGCCATGTGCTTCACCGTGCTGCGTCCCCGATTTGTTGTGAAGATCGTGCTGAACCAAAATCCTGCCATTCTCAACTCAGATCTGCACTAAGCAGTAGTCAGTCGAAGTTCTCCCAAGTTTTTGGATCCAGGAGATGGGCCTTGTAGAGCCGGATGAAAACAGTGGCCGGCAGATCACCAAGGAGCCGAACAGTTGTGTGGAAGAGTCAGGCCTTGGCAATCTCCGTCGTTCCTGCATGGTAGTAGCAACCTCTATACAAGTAGTAGTGGTGGTGGTGGTCGCCGTCGCAGAGGTGGAGTTTGGGGCGTACTGTGAGTAAGGGGTAGTAGGCAGCAGGTAGCAATAGCAAGTGGTAGGCTTAGCTTGTAAATCGTACTAGTTGGACGTACGTGAAGCAGGTAGCCTTTAGCAAGAAGTTAGACATTGATTGTTTTGGATGTGAATGCTGAGCAACTGCTACGGCACTAGGCTGTTCCAGGAATCAATCTTACAGAGCCAACAATGTCACGTTTGCGAAGCCAATGCGACCAGCAAGTTGGACAAAAGCATCTCATGTAGGCAAACTGCCTGATAACTCCGTCAGCTTTTGAAGTCACCAACCCCACACACGGAGCAGGAAGGCCAGCGCGAGCTGGACACTGTGGCCGTGCAGGCGGACTGTCGGTATCAGGCATGAGGTTGTGGCTGAGATCCGACGTGCAGCGGAAGGAGACGTTTTGCCTCTGCTGGACACCTTAGCAGCCATGCCGTGAAAACCTCATTGCCCTAGGCAAAACCCATCTTTGTGACGTGGTGTCGGAGAACTGTATGTCTGCATGTACGTGTGTGTGTGTGTGTGTATGTATGTATGTCTGTATGTATATGTATGTATGTATGTATGCATGTATGTATGTATGTATGTATGTATGTGTGTGCATGGATGCATGTATGTATGTATGTATGTACGTATGTATGTATGTATGTATGTATGTATACGTGTTCCTATACGCATGCGTATATGTATACGTAGGTGTGTCTGTATATATGTATATATGTATATTTATTTTTACATATATAAGACAGTAAAAACTGTACATATGTATATATGTGTGTATGTATGTACGTATGTACGTACGTATGTATGTACGTATGTAGGTACGTATAATGTACGTACGTATGTATGTATGTATGTATGTATGTATTTGTATGTAGTTGTATAACAAATATGTGTGTATATATATACATGTCTGTACATATGTACGTATGTATGTATGTATGTATGTATGCATGCATGTATGCATGTGTGCATGCATGTGTGCATGTATGTGTGCATGTATGTATGTATATACGCATATGTGTGCATATGCACGTGCATACATACATACATACATACATACATACATACATACATACACACGCACCGATATACCGCCTACAGTTCTAGTCGCATTGTTTTTTTTTTCTGCGAGCTTTCTGACAAAACCAGGCCGCTGCTGAGGAGGAGGAAGAGGATTGAGTGATGTTGCCAGACCGAAGCAAGAGCCATGCCAAAACAAAGGGGAGCCTGCGGTCAGTCGGGATGCGGGATGTCGCGGATTGAGTTGCAGCATGCTGAGTTGACCGGCACTGCAATCAGGCAACTCTTATCCGCTGAACAGTCAAGATCTTTCAGCGTGGCATGTCGCCGATTACAGGAGAGTCTGATGTTCAGCCTTTTGTCACTGTCAGCTTTTGCATTCTAGAAAGCTTATCGCAAATGCAGAAATACATCAGGACTCAGCAGAGAATTGTCACGCAAACCGTAAAGTAGCACTAATGGCGAATGCTTGTCATGCATAGTCTACGGGGCGCCAGTAATGATAGTTGCTAGCCTCGACTGCAAGAATTTGGAATGGCCGAGTGCTGTCTCCGAGAACTGGCAGTGTCTTTTGCCTTCGCAGTTTTGATGCTTGCCCGTGCTGGCTCTTGAGAGGCATACAGCAAGAAGACATGAACGGGCAAGCCTTGCATGTCCATGAGATGATCGATAGCAGACTGCGACTGGTGCCTGCTGAGTCAGTAGAAACAAGAGTTAGAATGCTGCTGATGTTGGTGGCGTTGGCAATGTCAATATCACCCTCGACGAGCACCCGAACAGCTGAAAGCATAGCTCATGTGCTGTCAATCATCGTATGGCCGTCGACTTCAGCCCCACATCACAAGTACAAGCATTCGGCAGTTCTCAGCTACAAGAGCTTTCTCGGCAAGCGTCCGATGTGCTGAAGACGCGACAGCATTTTTGTCATGGCGGTTTCGGTGGAGGCGGCGAGGGAAGCACTCAGTCTTGTCTGCTTGCCAACTACTGCGAAGGCAAATCCTATCCCAAGGGTTCCAAGTATGCAAATGGTACCTACTTTGGGGCTTAAAGTCTGTAAATAGGACCTACTTTGGGCTATTTGGAGCCCTAGGGTATAGGAACCTTCCATTGACCACGCCGAACCTGCAGGCAATCTTTCAACTACTCCTTGGCCCAACATTGAACGCCTTCAACACTAAATGCAGCCTGCAGCTGTTGAGTTACTGAGCGTCTTTCGTGAGTGACCTACCGCGTCGACAGCCGGAGCCTCGCCCCGCTTGCCAAGTTATAAGAGTCGAAAGGCTAAACCGTGAGCCCTAAGCCCCTGTGAGAGAGACGTTATCTGGCGAGTCCGAGTATGAGAGCGTAACCCTGTGTGAGAGCCCGGACGCGGAACCCTGCGAATTGACGGCGAGGCCTTTGCTTTCGTGGTGCCTTTGCCCACACTGCCTGTCACCAGGCATGGGTGTGGAGCCTACTCGTAGGTTGGAGATTGGCGATTGGAAACTTCATCCGAAGAAGACGTACAACAGTCGCCTTCAGTCCTGGCATGATGGCGATCATGATTCCGAGTACCTTGGATGCCTGGGTAGGTGCCGCTTCACCTCGGACTTTTGATAACACACAGAGCACGAGCATTGTTTGTCGTAGCGAACTGCAGCCAAGAGAAGATTCGTGGGCCGGGAGGCCGGCCTCCACACATGGGCGCACGACACCGGAAGCCCCGGAGAAAGGCCCATGATGCAACCATCGCTGTCGGGATTTCTGGGATTGAGTTCGGGTCCGGGAATCATGGTTCATGGTAGTCATAGTCGTCACAACGGCTTGTACCAACCTCAGCCCCCGAACTAGCAAGGGCGAGATGGATGTTGTGCGATCGCCAGAATTCAGAGGCTGTAGCAGTCAGACGTACTGTCACCAATCCAGTCCGATACTTCGCAAGAGGAGAAGAAGGTAAGAAGATCCAATCAGCGAAAGAAAGCTGCGAAACCTGTCGTCAATCTGTAATTCGCTCTTGCTGTGCTGGCAGTGTGGTGCTTTACACGCATCTTGGAAACACGGAAGTAACATCTTGATTGCGAATCATACTGCAGGTCGGGCGACCTGCACCATACCTTATAGTCTTATAGTTGCTTCCGAATGCAAGGCAAGACGGTCAAACACTCCCCAGACGGTGCATGCTGTAGTGAAACATTGAAACCCCTTCGGCCCTATCGGACCTCGACCCGTCGTTGCAACTACAGTTTTTTGAACTACAGGTAGTCGTTACTTACCACTAATCTGAGATGGTGGTGCTGGGGATTATTGGTATACCTGTAGGCAAAGAAACGACTGCAGTAAGAATACTCCGCCGAGGGCTTGCCTCAGCCGAGGTTGGATGAAGCTTGCATGATGTTGTTCAGGTGGACCGCATTTGTATGCTCGGTGGCTGTAGTTCGTAGAGGCTTAGGCCCAGGGGGCTTCAGCTTGATCGGGACGCTGGGCTCCCAGCAGTGCTAGGAGCCCTCAAAGGAGAATGGTGTTTGGACCGCTCAAGGTCCCATGCGTCCTTCCACTCTTACGCATCGTGCATGGTGCCAGCTGTCGAGGTGCTTCATCAGCGCTCGCCGCAGCAGCCACAGCTTGTGCCGCGGTTTGGGCAAGGAGGCTGCGCACGAGTTCTGCAAGTTGCGAGTCGGATTTGGGTGTAGGGATAAGGCGAGGGTTAGTCAACACTGTGGGGTCGTAGGGTGTAGGCTCGCGGCGATGTCATGGTGTCGTTGTTTCTGGTGCTGCTGCTGCGCATGGGCTTGCTGCTAGCTGCTGGCTCACGTGAAGACAAGATTCGAAAGTGCTTGCTCCCTGCCTCGAAACTTCGCCTTTACATGTCGAGAAAATATCGAAACCCTTGATCTCTCGATAGTCTTGCTCAGCCCCAACATGTCAAGCTTGCATTTCGAGACCTCCTCTCGTTCTGCTTTAAAAAACCGAACCAGGCAGAACCTCTCCGCGGAGAAAGTGTACCCTAAACCGAGGGGCCGATAAAAAGCATGTGAACATTCTAGCACCTAACTACGTAAGGGCCGTGTATATCCATGTGGCCTCCGCAAGACATACACCGGAAATTTATCCAGGCATAGAAGGGTAAGCTAGAGGTATGCTTCTGCAGCCAGCTGTAGGAGATCGGTCAGAGCAAGTAGAGGGGAAGTCTGAGAATCAGCTGACCACCCTGCAAATTTGTGTTACAGACTACAGAGTCTTTCGGTAAGGGGTAAGAGGACCCAGCCCAACGTATCACAAGCATGATAGCCCCAGCGCCTACAAAGCCCAACATGTAAGCCTGAAATACATGTGCCTCCCGCAGTTCCTCTTCTGGTTTCTTGAATGGAAGTGAGTGAACGCCAACTACTCGCATCCGGGCTGCGCAAGGAGCAAGTTCTCAACCCGCCCCCCACCCGTTTTGGGTACACCTTGAAACCCTCACGACTCGAGCGGAGAAGAGCTGAAAGGGATTACTTTCACGGGTGTGAGCTCTGGGTTGGGCTATCGTGGCCCAGGATTCCAAACATCCGTGGGACAGATACAGACCGACGACGACAGCAACAGCAACAGCAACGACAAGTAAAGTCAGCACCGGCGATGACAGCGGTTCCCCAAATTCCTAAACATTAAAGCAACATTTCCAGAGCCAATAAGCCAGGCGCTCAACCGGGGCGGTGTCAGTGACCAGGAGGAAGGCTGTCCACCGCGCAGTTGCTTTGTTGGGCGTCCGGACCAATTGATGGTCGCTTCAAGGGGGGGCTATATCACTGTTGCCATGTCAGGTTACTAGAGAGGGCTACAACGGCTCTGAGTCAGAACAAATTTATACTGTAACTGTAAGGCGTGCTATAATGTGTTTTGTCATGGATTTGAAGAGGCTTGAAATGTTACTATCATGAAAGTGTGGTAGGAAACAAAGCAATCGAGTAGAATAATTCGTAGAATCGCAACGAGCAACGAAACCGAATATCATCTTGACCACTACATTTCAAGTGCTTACCAACCATGTATATACATAAAACATGCGCACAAACACATCTCTCTATGTATCTATCTATCTATCTATCTATCTGTCTATCTATCTATCTATCTATCTATCTATCTATCTATATGTTGTAGGTATGCATGTATGTATGCATGCATGCATGCATGCATGCATGTATGTATGTAATGTAATGTAATGTAATGTAATGTAATGTAATGTAATGTAACGTAACGTAACGTAATGTAATGTAACGTAACGTAACGTAACGTAATGTAATGTAATGTAATGTAATGGTATGTAATGGTATGTATGTATGTATGTATGTATATATGTATGTATGTATGTAGGTATGTATGTATGTGTATGGTGTGTAAATACAACAAATATCAAACACAACACAATCTACTTATATAATACAAAGTTTATTAGTAAGTGGAATATTATATAGCATAGTAGAATATAGTATAACATAGTTGTTTATATATACACATACAGCAGCAGTATCGGCGGCACCCTTTCCTCGTTACTCGCGAAGACCGACTCCCGAGCACCGCTTCGGGTCTTGGGTGGCGGGTTTCTGGTCGCAGGCTTCTGAGGCACCCTCCAAAGCTGACAGCGGCTTCCGAGAAGATGAGGCGCTGCGTGGATCGAGAGTTTTGTAGCTGAGCAGATGCAAAGATGGTGGCTGTTGTCGGATGACTTCGACATGCCGTAATTATCCGAGAAAGGTACGAAGACGAACCTACTGCAAAGACACTCTAGGGTTTAGGGTACGGCAGTGGTCGCGATGAGCACGCAGATTGGGCTAAGGAAGCACAGGTGTTGTGAGGCCGTGCACGCAACAAACTCGAAAAGACAATGTCATGCAAAGCCTTGCTCTCTAGCTGGGCACTTCCGAAGTTTCCAACGCATCCAGCCTCAAACCCAACTTTCAGCCGTTTTGGTTCACGAGTCTGCTCGAGAAAAGTGTCCAACGTGTTCCCTGGTGTAAGAAGTAAGCAATTCTCAAGAAAACCATGCCTCGTAGCTGCTTCTTTCCGACTCTCCGAACAAAGCTCATTGAAGCAAGATGTTGTACTCAGTGGTTTGTTTTGACAGTGGTTTTCGGAACATGTTTGGCGCCAGCTACTTCGGTGCACAAGGCGGCTATGGCGGGGTAGAACCTGCTGGCGAGGCTGGGCCGTGCGGCGGTGTGCAGGCATCGCAGGGCCATGGCGGCTTCATCCCTGAGGATGACACCGCTAGGTCAGGCATGCAGGCAAATTCAACTTCTGGCAAGACCACATCACAGACATTGACGCCTGTCACGATTCGTATGCTGCTGGATGCTGCGAGTTCCGGCCAGCAGGGCCCGGACAGTCCATTCCGAGTAGGAGGTCGAGAGCTCCAGCTGTTGACTGTCGTAGCCTGCGTAGAGGACATCCAAGTTCAGGAGATTGGCATCTGTGTGACTCTAAACGATGGCACAGGCAGCATTCGCTGCAACGTTTACCCCGATAGCGATTCTGCATCTGGTCCAGAACTACGGAATGGGGACTACATCCGCGTCTTCGGCTCCCTGGGACACTGGGACAAGCAGGACGGTATCAGGGCACGTGGCATTGTGAAAATCGAATCCGCCAACGAGATTGCTTACCACACCATTGAGGTCGCCCATGTGCACTTGCGTGTCAAAGGAAAGTTGGTCAAGTCCAGTGCCTCAGGGCAAGCCAACCACAGATCCCCCGTGCCGTCGATGCCAATGACGACGTTGCCTGCGACGCACGCGCCTCCGGCCGTGCCGACGCGCACAGCTCAGTTTGCCGGCCCGCATCAAGCACAGACGCCCACTGCAGCGTCAAGGCTTCAGAATCTCGAAGGATCGGTGATTGCAGGATATACATCCCGCGGAGGGACCATGCCGGCACAAATGATGTCCCGCTTGCAGCAGCCTGGCCAGCTAGAAATCAATGCACAAACTTACCACCCGCCCCCAGCGATGCATATGCAGAGGCCTCAGCCACAGATGCACAATGGCCATGGAGGCGTGCAAGGTGGAGGAGCTGCCATGGCCAGGACATCACCTTTCCAAGGTGGACTGGGCGGGCAGCAGCCTGCAACGAACATGCCACCGCCCGGAGGGGCTCTCGGCAGCAGTCTATATAATGGCGGAGCTAATGGTAACAGCCTCTACGGCGCGGCAGCAGGAAGTGGTCGACTCCGCTGAGATAAGTTGCACAGTGCAAGCAATTAATTATTCGCTTCCTTACAGCTTCCTTACAGCTGCTGCATGTGTATAGTTATAATTACTTCACGACCACTCGATCCTGCCCTTGCGTAGGATCAATCACCGGTTGGTGAGGGCAGGTGCACAGATGTCCAAAGCCGAGTGCGCTGGATGCAAAATCCCACACTTGCAGACTTGGCCTGTGACACTGCAACAGGCAGGAAAAGTGTTGTACACTTTGTGCAATCCCAAAGAGCGCTTTGGGAGGTTCGGAGCAGTTGCGTGGATACTTTTTGACTCTAGTTCGGGTGTGTTGTGGAGAACCGAGGGGGATCCGCCAAGATGACTTTACTTTGCAAGAAGCAGACCCGAATTTGGAACGTCGAGAAAGCCTATAGTATAGGGTCTACAGTCTATAGTCACCCCCCGGCCCTCGTCCTCCTTTGTCGCAGGATCCCAAGACTGAGGAAAGCTATAAAAGGTCCCCCCCCCCTCCCCCCCGGATGTTAAGAAGCCCTTCACACTCCAGGGCTCTAGCGCAGATGCTCGGCAACTCGATGCCGGCGAGTCCCTCGGCGAGGCCTGTGCCCCATGGATGATTGCGAAGCAAGCTCAACTAGCTTGAAAGCAGTATAACCTCGTTCCGAATTTTAGTGACGTCCTCGTTCCAATAGGTTGACGGTGTAAAGATGCCTGGGTCTCGAGACGGGTCGGTGGTTACTGTAAGATTTCATTTGTTTGGTCTGCGGCCGTTGGCGATGATGGGCGAGCATCATCTAGGGAGAATCTAGGGAGTAGTGACCCGTAACCCTCCGCTCTGCATATGAGTATTTACAGCGCGCTGTTGCTATGGTAGCCTTCCCACCTCTCTGACCCCAAGCTCATGTCACCGCGAAGTTTGCATCCTCAATTCAATTCTGTCAATCCTCTGCAGGCAACTAGCATTGAAGCCCTGAAACTCACCAAATCCCAGCAGTGACTGATCGCAGGGCACGAGCTCGGAAGCCCAGCAACCCGACGTTGCTGGCGAGGACACCATTTTGGCCTAGCACGGGTTTACAAGAGGATGCTCTCATGGTTTCTCTTCAGGGGGTTAGTTCCTTCAACTGGTCTTTTGCGGAGTCTATCCCCATCCAGCATGCAGGAACTTCCTTCCTATGAACAGGAAACTCACTATTAGGCGGCGCCCTGACAGTATGGCAGAGAAGCCCGAACCCTTTCTGCTCAGGGACCGATTTCGGGATTCCATCGTAACTGTGGGAAATAGGTGGGTACACATATGCATTCTACTTTGTGCGCCCATACATATACCTGTCTATAGATACAGGTATGTGTGTATTCTATGTTATAGATATATATATATATACACGGCGATTGTACAACAGAGTTAAACAAACACCCATGTGTGCATGCATCCATGCCAGGTACAAAGGCACATGCTACTGGTATGTGTGGGTATGTGACGGTATGTGTGTATATACATACATAGATACCTGTCTACCTACGACCGACCTCCCTCCCTACCTACCTACCTACCTGCCTGCCTACCTACCTGCCTACCTACCTCCCTGCCTACCTACCTAGCTACCCACTTACCTATCCTAACCTAACCTAACCTAACGAACCCTAACCTAACCTAACGTAACCTACCTACTTACCTACCTCCCTACCTACTTCCCTACCTCGCTACCTCCTATCTGCTACCTACCCGGCTACCTCCTACCTACCTACCTACCTACCTACCTACCTACCTACCTACCTACCTACCTACCTACCTTTCTACATGAAAACTTGCACATACATACATGCATACATACAGACTCACATACATAAGAGCGAGAGGGAGCGAGAGCGAGAGAGAAACGATTGATTGCGACTGTAGCTAATGCTTCGTTCATTTTTGCATTCACCTCATGATGATTTTAGCACGACCTGCTGCTAAGCTGGGCTCAAGGCCCCTTCGGGCTGGGCCCTTTGCCTTTTGTCTCTCATAGCACAGCCTTCCATCTTGAGGGGCCGGGCAAGGCATGCAGCTGCCAGGCCAGGGCCGTGGGAGCAAATGTATGGGCTGTCACTGCGTAGAGCTTCGAGCGGCAAGGGTTGGAACCCAGGGACCCCGAAGAATCCGAAGACCAAGACAGAAGCTCCAGAAGCTCGAAGGCTTCCTGTTCACGTTGCTTCTGCTCGCCGCCGCCAGCCTGTCCAAAGCAGAGGCCCGGGCGATGTTTCAGCAGGGGAGTGGGGAAGTTCGGAGGCTGAGGGGTTTGGTGAAGGCCATTGATCAATATCGTGATGCTCTATTGCGAATTGCGCCCTTGTCTGACCGGCACATCTCAAATCTTGTTCGTCTTTGGTGTTCAATCGTCAACCTTTTGGACTCTGGCGGCAGTGTTGCATGGATGGTTTTCATGGTGTTCCCATGCCAGGATTTTCTCTATGCTGGAGCAACGACTTTGGCGCCAACTCCTGCTGGGAAGGAGCAGCTCGGCTTACATCGTCTTCGGAACTACGGTCTCGTCGGGGTTAGGGTTTAAGGTTCTGTAGTTGGGGGTTAAGGTGCGCGTTGTTGCCAGGTCAGCTGAATGCTGGAGAGCTTATGGAGCATTGTCGAACCTTTAACATACCCTCTGCTCTTACTCAGTGCTTCCGTGCTCATACCAAGTCAACTGGTCCTTGGCCGTGAACCCTGGTCGCGTGAGTGAGACGAGACATGCAAGCACGGCATGTTCAGAGAAACCTTCAGCGCAAAACGACTCTCTCCGTTGAGTCCGAGCCGCTTCTTCGTGGCAAACGACGTGGGCCAGGCGGCTAACAAGGTCAATTCCGAGATGCAGCCCTGAGAGAAGGGAGCAGTGCTTAGTGGGCTTGGCACCATAAGCCTGTAAGCCTTGAGCCCTAAACTTAAAGCCGTCAACCTTAAGGGCCAGCGCAGATTTGGAGAAATCATCGCACTGTGCTTTCCTGGAAAATCCTAGACCCGTTTAACCCTTAGACCCCGATTACCTTAATTACGCTAAACACATCTAGACGCCAATTTGTTTACAGGTGCAGAGCAGAACTGACTAAGTCCAAGCGTGTTTCTGTTCCAAAACAGGAGCTCAGTACCGTGCAGTACAACAGGGCATAAAGTCTAGCATAATTTATGCATTATAGCATATAGCATACTACAGCCTATACCTACCTACCTACCTACCTACCTACCTACCTACCTACATACATACATACATACATACATACAGTGTTATAGCACAGAGTAGAGCACAACATGATTAGCTCGGTACGGCGTCGTTTCCTGTAGTGGCGTTTGCTCAACTTCATCGGTGAAGTGACGCTTGCCTTTCTTTCCATTGCCTCGACGATTTGTGTTGCTTTCTACTAGCTTCCCGTGCGATGTTGACAGTTTAGGGTTTAGCGTGAGGTTTCTCAGGCGCTGTGTCATGTGTGTTCTCTTCATGTCTCAACGCAGCCAGGGGTCGACGTTGAGTCGACACGCAAGCTTGATGTAAAAGGGAGGTTGTCCGACAGTGTACATAAGGTGTAGAGAGACATGGTCTGCGAAGGCCGTGGGTGTAGCGGACGGGGGTGCTTCCCGGGAGTTTGAGAAAATCTGGGACCCCAGAAGGCGCTAGAGGGCAAACAACAAGGGGGCTTTAATAACTCCCAATACTGTTTTGTAGGCTCCTTATTCTAAGCTCGCATATAAGAAACACCCCAAACCCGATTGTAATTAGCAAGGCCAGTATATTGCCTAATTTCTGCAAAACACTCAAATGAGCGATTGAATATGGAGGTCTCCCCCCCGCTGAACACATCGTAACTCCTTGATTATCGGTCTCGTCGAGTCGTGCCTTAGAAGCACGTTGAGCCTAACCTGGCTCCCTCGAGTTGTGGGAGAATCGTTTTCGGTTTGTTGGGGCTGCGAGCTTTCTGATTCTAGGGCCTTAGGGTCGTGGGCCTGAAGGTATAAAGGAGCCTAAACCCCACATTCCGAAACTTGAAGCCCTTTTCCGCTCTTAGATGAGTTCGGGTCTTTGGCTGAGGTCACAGACGCATTTCGAGAACACGCTGCCAGCAGCGCCGCTTTCTGAGATCTGGGGGGGTCGGGTTGAAGCTTCTGCCTGTAGTCCTCTTTCTAAGGGGTTTCCAACACAGCTCACAAGCCGTGAATCAGAGCCGAAGCCCTAAAGCCTAGATACTTCACGCCTGTCATGAATAGGAGAAACTAGAGAAGGAGCCAACAGCTCAGGAAGTTCGTGTCCGCTGGTGAGGCGCCGACGAAGACCAAGCTGAGACATGGGTTGCAGGTTGAGGTTTGGTTTGGTACCCGGACTGATTTCTGATGCTGGGCGCGTAGCTTTCAGACATGGCGTGATGGTGGCTTGCATCATGGTTGCGACAACTAATCGCGAGGCAGTGCCGCGAGGTGCCCCACCCAGTTCGAACGTGCGAGGTGTGAAAGTGGCCGCAGTGCTTTGGATGAATTAGCCCATGGAAGCAGCAGGAAGTATCTTCTTGAGGTGAGCTCGTCAGCAATGCATAAGTTCACACATATATATATATTTCTATATATTTCGAGAGAGAGATAGTATGACAGATTTTGACAGTGGGTCATCAATGGCTCGGTGGCATAGCTGTTTGAGATCAGGCACTGGCTGTCCAGTCCGGCAGCTCCAATACTTCTGCGACACCAGCGGCAACAGCAACCACTCCTCCACCAGCTGCCACGGCTACAACACCTCCTGCGCAGATCTCTGCAGTAGCGCCGGGGCCCAATAACAAGACAGCGAAACAAGTGCAGGAGACTGCCTCGGTGGTGCCAGTGCACAGCGCCCAAGCACCCAGTGGTAAGTTAAAAGCCAGACCTGCTGCAGATCCAGGCGCGCACTCGGTCAGCGGCACGCCAGTCTCTCCTCCACCACCTGTGCAAGCTGCCACCGCGCAGCCAGCGCAAACTGCCATGGCACAGGCTCCACAAACCAGCGCACCTCCTCTGGAGACAGCCAGTGAAAAGCCCATCCCTGCACAACTCCCCAAATCAGAGCTGGTTTCAGCAGCACCTCGAGCGCCTCCTAGTGCTCAAGAAGGGCGGGCGGTCGATGGCACATCTGCTACATCTGCCACGCCGGCTTCACCAATCCCAAAGAGTCCGGGCTGCAAGAGTACATGCTGATAGTTCCGGTTGAGGGTGCAGCTGTAGTTTGGTCACACGTGCACAACTCAGCAAGTCGTTGCATCTGAGGCTTCCAGGGAATCCGGCCCTGAGCACGAAGCCCTCGCTGCAAGCGGCTGGAGCTGCGGGAGGGAGCCCGACCCATCTGCAGCCAGCTGCACCAACGATGACGTCTGCAGGTGCACACAGCAGAGCCGCAGGTCGCACCTTGAGATATGGACACTGGGAACACAACCTTCAGACTCTTCAAGACCCCAATCCTGCGTGAATCGGCAGTCAAGCGAAAGTAGGTTCAGGAAGAGTAGGAATCACCAGAAAGGACAAATCTTAATTGCTCAATCGCGGATGTGTACGTTTCAGGCGCTGCAAACGCCACCCAGGCCATCGCTGACCTGCCTGCCGGCTGCTTGCCTGCAAGACAGAACACTCGCATTATTTTGGGTTACATGTTAGATGCTTTGTTATTTGTTGCACTATGCTATACTTCACATCACATGTTATGACTTAATATTAAAGGTTGAATACTGTGACATGAGCGGCAGAGCTTAAGCTGCTGATCATGGACACCCCCCTGTCGGAGCGCAGCTTGCAGCCGTTCCAGATGCTCTTGGGCTTGGCCGGCCTTTGGTTCGAAGCGTAATCGTTACGAGGTTATAGAGTAGTCAAGCCCAAACCTCGGAATAGATAATTCCTGAAGCCACCCAGAGCCCACGTTGTCAATCTGTCTGTTGCTTTAACTAGCTACTTGGAGCTACCTGTTTCAAGAATACATACATTTACAGGCACTGTACACAACATATCTATATAGATGTGTACACATAGATACAACATATAATTACACAAAGTATGTAATATGATTTCATGTTGATGCTCTGTGTGTGTGTGTCATCCGTTCTTTCTTGCTCCGCGGTTTCGCGGACCTTCTTCCTACGATTGCTGTTGTTACGGCGATTAAGGGTATTGGCATGTGACTGGCATCCTGACTACAGCTTTTTGGAAGAGCCCGATGTTGAGCCCCGTGCCAAGATCAATCTCGAACTGTGAAGGCACGACCCCTTTGCCGAAGCCGTCAAGACCAACTGCCGTCCGCTTCTCAGAGATGTAAACATAGAAATCTGATCACAGCATGATAGAGAGGCATCACGACACCTTGCATGCCTCGGTCAGAGTTTTTCAGTGTGGGCGGCCGTGCCGCCTTGCTGCCTCAATGGGTGCGTGGTGCTATCATTGCCTTCGCTGGCATTTAGAGAAAAGGGGTGTTCGACCTGACTAGGACATGAAAACTCCAGCCTCTGGAATCTAAACGCCAAAGGCTTTCAACTTCGGGCGTAGAATGTAGAGACTCCAGCACGTCAATATGTCATCGTGCCTGCAGAATACCACTGGAGAAAGTCACGGCAAATGAAAAAACCCTAAAACCCTAAACCTTCAAACTGGGTCCATGGAAGCTGGCCAGAAGTCTGAATTTCGGGTTGCCCGGCCCTCTTTTTTTGCTGCCAGAGACCACTGAAAACCCCATGATTCATGGCATCTTCTGTCTTTTTATTGGGCCGCGCTTTGCGGAAGCTGTAAAGAGGCCCTGCCTTGACTCCCTTGAAACCACGCCAAACTCGAATCCCTAGGCCCAGAGTCTGTAAATTCGCCTCAACCCACAGAGCCGTAGAGTCTAGACAAAACAAGAGGCCAAAACCCCGAAATTCCCTCAGAGAACCCTGACAGGAGGGCCCCGAAGGACCCCTGAAACGCACCCAGAAACGCAACCCGAAGACTCCGACACACCGAGGTGTCGCCAGTGCCCCCCTCCGTCATTCCAGGAACTGCCACCATAAAAGTCCGGGTCTTACATCTATCAAATCAAGCAATTATGATGACAACCTTATTGTGAGGTGTTGTAAAGTACTTTTGTGTTTGTGACGAAACGTCGCATTGACCTGAACAAACATGCAAGAGCAACATTTCTGGGGCTACTCAGTTTGGGGGAGTCTTGGGCTCGGGATTCCCATTCGCTAGCATCTTCGGGGATCTACTTCCGTGAAAAGACGCTGATCCATGATGTGATGCAAGGTTGAGGGTTGTGCGAAGGCTTTCTGCATTCATCCTGTGCTTGGCAATCGTAAAGTGGACCATGGGGGCATGGTTACCCAACGACCTTGTGGCTCCCAGCATCTATTCTGTCCGTCGGAGGCTCTGAGAGGGCCGTTGGGTGTTCGCGGCTTTTTGTCGGCCTTCTTACATGGACGCGCGCTTGTCCAGTATGCCTTCGCGCATTTGGTCGTCGTGCGCTTGGAGGACTGTCTGACTGATGAGTACTCCAGTTTCCAGAATCGGATAACTCCTAAATGCTACACCTGGATTCGTGCAGATGTTGCTACCTGTGAATATTTGTTTGGACTTGGAACGAGGCCCAGGCGAATGTGGGAATCCTTCCTTCGGCCGGGGAAGCGGTGGCAAGTGGTGCCGCGGAGGCTCTCTGTTTTATTTAGGTTGCCTGCTAAGGTTCTATAATGCTCTATAAAAGAGGTTTTTTTAAGGGTATATAAGGGTACTACCATAGAGTCTGCTAGGCTTGTGGAGTTTTATGGTTGATCCGGTAGGGGTTTGTTTGGAACTTCACTGGATTTTGCCGGGGCTGGGCAAAGGTTTGGGCCTTTTGGGGCCAATGCTGACCAAGGTTTAAGCACTGTGGTCCCAGTGTCAATATTTGGGTAGTTCTCTAAATTAGGGTGCTTTCTTGGATCCCCAAAATAGTACGAAACCCCTATGAAAAGGATCCAAATTACCCATTTGGTGATACAAGCATTGGCTTTAGCAGGGGTCTAACCAGCACACCAGCATGAGCACGCCATCTAAGCCGAGTGGCCCAATCAGCAAGCGGGATGACCCCCAGTTTCGTGGTTGTTGAGAGTTGCTGTTTTTGTTCCACGAATTTTGCGGCAGTGCTCCAGGATGCTCCATGTCATGTTTCGAACTGTTTCTTTGTTCGGGGTTTGAGATGCCGGATGACATGGAGCGAGCGTGCTTCTTGGTCGCGAGGTTGCCAATCAAGCCGTGATCTCCCCAAAACTGCAGTAGTGAAACATTGCAGTGGCACAGCCTGGGTCGTGGAGTCTTGATCAATCTAAATCTAATCGCATCAGGCACAATCGCAGCCGCCCGATGTTCTGCACCCATCAGCCACGACGGTGTCGGTGGCCAGCGGGATCAGCCAGGCAGAAAGCCTAAAGCATGCGCTGGTCTGCAGACTCATGCACAAGTAGGGCCCCACCTCTGAAGGCCATGCAGGAAGGAGTTGTTCAAGCTATCTGATACCCCTACAATGCCCTACCGGCCCTCACTAGTAAATCGTACTGAAACAAACTCCACGTCCCGGTCCTAAACCCGTATAAAACTGGGACATTCTTGGAAGTGGTTCGCCGCAACCGACTACGCACCAATAACATCGCCTGGCTTGTCCGAGTGTGAGCGCTGAAACCTGTAAAGACCCGCATAGAAACCCTATAAAACTTTTACACATTTTTTTGATTCCTTAACAAACCGAACCCGTAGGTTCTTGCTCCGAGCTCGGCTGGCGGCTCGGGAGCCACGCCGATGAACACCCAGGTGTGGTGACAGCAAAAGCCCAAGACTCTAAGTATACAAATTGCATCTTCTTTGGTGTCTAAAGTTTGTAGATGTGCCTGCTTTGGGGTTTAAAGTCTATAGATTCAGATGTACTTACATTGGGGTTTAAAGTCCATAGGTAGTACCGACTTTGGGGTCTAAATGAAGTCTGTAGATAGTACCTACTTTGCGGCCTGAAGCTTTGAAATAGCACCTAGCTTGGGCTGTTTGGAGTCTTGGGAAGTGCCGAATGCCGTTTCCCGTGGTATGTCGTGCGTGGGCGTTCCTGGGGTTCTCTGTAGCAAGATGAACGGTACTGAATGAAATGAATGAATGAAGGAAGGAAGGAAGGAATGAAGGAAATGAATGGATGAATAAATGAAACGGAGTGAATGAATGAAATGAATGAGTTAATGAATACATGAAATGGAATGAAGGAAAAGGAAGAATGAATGAAAGAATGATTGAATGACTGAAACCAATGAATTTAATGAATGAATGAATGAATGAATGAAATGCACGAATGAAATGAAGATGATATGAGATGAAATGAAATTGAATGAATGAATGGAATGGAATGGAATGGAATGGAACGGAATGGAATGGAATGGAATGGAATGGAATGGAATGGAATGGAATGGAATCGTTCCGAGTGGAATAGGAGGGAATGTATTCGAGTGGAATGGAA